AAAATGATTCGAAAATTTTTAATTGTTTGTTAACTTCTGGGTCATATACGTTAGTATTTTCAGAGGTCCCCATAACCAGGCCATATAAACTTTATTAAAAAAAAGTATTATTGTGCACGCATTTAACACTATACACCAAACCAGTTGCCAAAATATATCGAGATTGACACGAATTCGATAGTCAGAAATAAATATCGATATATCGGGAATAAAAATATCGACGATGTTTATCGATATTAATTTGGAAAAATATCGATATTTTTATACAGCGTGTCGTTACCATCGCGACAATAAATGAAAACACATATAGGGGATAAGTTTTTAAAGTTGTATTAAACATTTAAATTCTTTAAACATCAAATTTTACAGAGTTATTAAATTTTCCAAAACAAAGAATTTTAGAACATCCTTACCTATAAAAGTGTAATGTAAAGTTCATTTGTAAAGGTCACAAAGCATATGAATGGGTTGAATGAATTTAAAAGAGACAAAACATACTGTTAGAAGGAGAGGCTTGTAATGCGACGCTGTGGCCCGAGTTGTATAGGATGTTACAAATTTTGTTTCTTTTTTACTTAATTAGTATGTTTGAAAAATATTTTTTTTTATTTATGGATTTTGTTTAACGTTAATATTTTTTTATGATTATTGGCAAGTAGCGTTAGACTTGTGTTCATTTATTGTCGCGATGGTAACGACACGCTGTATATCGATATCTTTTGCCATGACATGACTAACTGCCTAGTGCCAACTCCATAGAGTAAAGTAATACTACTGAAACTGTAATGCTACTGGCCTACTCTCAGTCAACCGCCGTCAAAGACTACTATTGTATACTGGAAACCGCCGTTACGTTTGGTGCTTTGCTTATATCGTGTTGGTTATTTTCAGATATATAAATTTATAAAAGTACTCCTATGTTATTTTATTATTCTTCTCTTCTATTCACTCATGTCTTATTTTATATTTTACAGATAAAAGTTGTCCTCTATTTCTGCTGTGTGTAAACTGTAAACCAACCCTCGAGAAAGCAACCGCAGTTTAGTTATTTTGTTAAAAGTGAGTATAATTCAATTTTTTCTACATAGGTAATACTAATTTTTAGCCACACTATTTTCTTATTTAAATTTTACAATGGCTATTAAATATTTACACCCAAATCCACAACGTAAATATTAAATTGTAGGCTTTTTGTTAATTCAACTGTTTGTTATTTTAATATCTCAAAATTTTGTGTTCAGAAATTATAATTATATATTTTCTTTTGTTTTGAACTTAGGTACATATTTTTTTGATCCTGTATCCACTCACTATCTCCACGTGTTACAATTAATATCTATTTATTTCCAAAAAACAGATTTCGTACCCTTATCAAATACGCTTATTAAAATTTATTATATTTTAAGTTAAAATTAAGAACATTTATTTTTTTAACTAAAATGCGCTTACAAAATATAAGTTAAGGAAATAAATGTAATTTTTATAAATTATGCGTGCGTAATTTTTTTATTATTTAAAATACATCTTCAGGATGTTTTGTTCTTGTTTGGCAACCAGGATCATATATAAGACTGGTTTCGTCGTAGACCGTAGTTTAGCAAATGGGACGACAATACATTGTTTATTCAACATTACGACGTGCTATTAAATATGTGCCCAATTTTACCGCGGATCTTCAAAAAAAAAACGATTTACCGTTTATTTCCAAATAGCGATACACTAACGCGTATAAATTACGTCATCAATGGCTAAGAATAAATTAATATACCACAGTTTGTTATAATTTTTGGCTTATCAATCTTCCTTTTTGCACAAAATTAATGTGACCATTTTACAATGTTAAACATATTTTAAAATTAGTTTGTAACAAACATTAGCGCATGTGATAAGATACTCAGGCCGTACGATATAACTCGCGCTGGCGGATGTAGCGGAGACTGCCGGTAAATGTAAATAACTTTAACTTTGGCGTAATTCAATTAAAATAAATTTTAAACGATAGACAAAAATTACTTATAAATTTTTCAACAAGCAGAATTCGGCGGTCTCTTATAGTTTTCGAAAAAATAAATAATGAAATGGTGTGATTTTCACTATACAAATCCGCCATTTTTTTGTTGTCAATATGTCAATTCTGCTCATATTTCTGAGTGGTCATAAAAAAAAACCACGAAGGTTAAGGCTCCTTCTAACCTAATCTATCCGTTAAAACATGTAGAAAAAGTACGAAAAGATTGTCGCCGCTGTGGGAATCGAACCCACGTCTTCGGCATTCGCGGCCTGACGCTCTACCCACTGAGCTAAACGGCTGATAGCCACAGCGACAAAAATCTTAACGCCATCTTTCTACATTGTTATTTAGCATTTGAAGCAATGCTTGGCGCATCTATTGTTATATCCTATCCAGCATACAAACGATTTTGAATATCGTTTTACAACGAAATTTCGAACGACAGATGTTGCTATTGCTTTTATAAATTTTAAAGTATTTTATAGTGCTAATCTCTGCACTTAAGATTGAACATTAAAATATGTAGAAAAAGTATGAAAAGATAGTCGCCGCTGTGGGACTCGAACCCACGTCTTCGGCATTCGCGGCCTGACGCTCTAGCCACTGAGCTTCGTTTCGATTTGGCAAAATGGTGGACTTTCTTAGTGAAAATAACAAATTTTAAATATGTTTTTCTCGAAAACTATAAGCGACCGCCGAATTCCGCTTATTGATTAATTCATTAGTGATTTTTCTCTATCGTTTAAAATTTATTGTAATTGAATTACGCCAAAGTTAAAGACATTTATTAATTTGCCAACCTGCGTTATTGTCAGAATAATCTTGAGCTTTCATTTTAATTTTGTCATCCCCATCATAACTGTTTACCATATAAAATGTAGGAGTTGGCGACGACGAAACCTTTACAAAGTCCGGGTCCCGGCTTCGAACAGTCTTCGTTGTACAAATCGGTTTTTGAAAAAATACAGTCGAAAACGCAATAGTTCAACTATCGTCCGTCATGTCGTTCGTTTACAAAACAGTCCTTACAGTTAAAAGTGAACTTTTTTGTTAACAAAATACAGCCTATAATGTATTACCAGTTGTTAATGCTGTCGTTTGTGATGCAAAGGGCAAACCTAAACTTCCAGAATTATCAGCTAAACTAAAATAAGCAACCAGAAAGCGATCACAGAAAACTGCAGACGACGCGCGATCGCTTGTTCTATTTCAAAAACATTCATATTACGTAACTCATCGCTTACCTTTTGTTTGTTGATCGTAAATATGCACTTTTGCCCGCTACTGTCAATCATTCAATCAAAAATCTTTATTCAAATAGACGCTTGCGCGTTCTTATGAATCGTCAAATTTTACATAAAACATTATACATAGAGGTTCGTAAGGTATCACCGGTTCGATTGGAAGGGGCAATTGGGAGTCGGTCCCGACTCCCGTCGCACCCTCCTCACCATGTGTGGGCAATATCTCTCGCGGGAGCGGGCGCTGTTCAAGAGAACGTGCATGTAGAGGGCCGAATCCGTGGAATTGATGGTGGGGTCCATTGTCTGCTCAGTTGAATAGTCTCAGTCGACGCGTGAGAAGTACGGTGCAGGATTGCGTAATAACGTCATTCCTAACATAGCGACAGCTCCTACGACAGTGCGTAGAGACCGATTCTGCTGGGCTTGTAATCGATTTCTTTGGTTGGATATTAGGGCGTATAAATGACTTATACACCGCAAGCTTAGTTCGGGTTGGCAGATGGGATGCCAGGACGGCATATAGTACCACCACACGAGCGGCTCTAGTTTGGCGAACTACGTTGTTCACCTGGGGAACATGGGCTAAGCGTGCGGTACAGCCGAGATAAGTCACGGTGGACTGCCATTCAATGTTCTGCCCTCGAAGGACTAGATGAGGTGTTCGCGAGACTATCCTGGCGGTTGTGAACGTGGACGTCCTACCGACGTTTAAGGCGATCCGCCGTTTACCCAACCGATTAAGTTGAAGACAAAAAGAAAATCTGGCTTAAATTTGGTTTCCGCCACTATTGATTAACATCAATTATACATCAATCATAATCAAAATAACATCAATCATTAACATCAATAATAAATGGTTCAGGTAAAAAAAATAAAGTAAAGTAACAGCCTATAAATGTCCCACTGCTGGACAGTCCGCCTCTGGACAGACGGTATCAGGGCGTAGTGTACCACGACTTCACCATATCTTAGAAATATTTTTGTTTGTTATTATTTTGAAAATATGTTGTTTTCCTCACGAAGTTTTCTTTCATAAGTCAGCACTTAAAATTAACAATTTTTTGGGTGCCGGCACCGGTGATCGAACTTAGGTTGTTCGAGTAAATTGAAGTAAGGGCGAGTGCCTGGACACTGAGCTATAACGGCAAAAAATATAACATCGATATAATTTTCAAATATGTATAATCTGCGTAAAAAGTTAATAAATATTTTAATTCAACTAATTTTAATTAGGTACGCAGTATTTACGTTTCATTTATGGACATAAGTTTTATTTCACAAAATAATCATATTTATTCATTTTAAATTATGAATTATATTGTACAATGAAAATATAATATACGACAACACTAACATGAAATGGCGCATCTGATATTAATGGAAATATTATTATAATGAAACTAAAATTAAGTGACATTCAGTATTCATTTAGATAAATGGGATCAGAATATTTACTGATGTATAGTAATCTTCCTTGCCTTTTTTTTATTGAGATTTCATTGGTGAGATACCGTTACACATTGAAGTTTGGATAATACATTTTTATAAAATTATCATACAATTTATCCTTTTCCGCCGAAATGTCAAAGCCGCCGGGCTAACAGCAAATTAAATGTCACAAATAACACAGTTATTAAGAATGTAAATTAAATTAAAAGTTAAATGGTTATAACAAAAAGCTATCTAGATAATTATTTTTGTTGTGTTTTTGAATTAAATCACTTCTCGCTTTTTCTCAGGTAACCATGAATACTGATATGGATCCACTGGTTGCGGAAGATTCACAGGTTAGTGACTCTTTTTGTAAACATTTATCCTGACGTAAAAAGAAGTCTTTGCGAACAGAATTACATGGTTCCAAAAAGATGGTGGCCACCGCGCATAGCGCACAAGCGTCTTTCGAGTGCCGTAAGAGAATTATTCTCGGGAAAAGTCATTTCTCGATTTGGTAACATATCCTAGCCAGCAAGATCGCCTGATCTAAGTTCACGTGAATTTTTTAGATGGTTTACTCAAAACTTTCGTGTACAGGAACCAACCTACCACAATTAGGCAATTAAAAGAAAATATTTGATCGGAAATCGTTCGAGGAGATCTTTGCCTTTTTTGCCTATTTTTGAAAGTATTTGAAAATATGCGTTTCAGATCGGAAGAGTACTTGCGTCAAGAAGAACATAGTTTAAAACATATTATTATTGAAATATCAAATTCACATTTCGTACTTTCGAATAAAGATATAAATATTCAAGAAACCTAATTTACTGCTTATTATTTATTTATATTAATACATAAGCAGTATTAATTACTGCTTATGTATTAATATAAATAAATATAATAGTAAATTCTTTAGTATTCGCATTTTTGCCATGTCAAGTTCGATCGGATACCTATGTTTCAAATGTTTCTTTGTATATTTCAGGGAAAAGATTGTATCCCACTGAATTCTGCTAATACCCAGGTAGCGGCTACTCAATCTGCAGTTATGCCAGTAAGGATTTTTTTTTCAAAGTAGTTAAAAAGGGAGGAGGTTTTCAATTCGGTTGTTTTTTTTAAGGTTCCGTATCCAAAGGGTAAAACAGACAGATAGACAGCGGAGTCTTAGTAATAGGGTCCCGCTGTATCTCATGAACCGTGATAATAAGACAGTTGACATTTTCGCAGATGAAGTATTTCTGTTGCCGCTATAACAACAAACGCGAGACGGTTGCTTGGCAACCTATAGGTACTTACCAATTAGTTTATTACAAATAATGGTACGGAACCCTTCGAGCGTGAGTTTGACTCGCACTTGGCCGGTTTTTTGTTTGTTATCTTAGAAATCCGCAGCGGACTGAAATGGCATTACTTCTAAGGGCCGAACACTGAAACGTTACTTAAATATTTAAAGGCACCTTTAACATTTCAGCAGCGCTTTAACACTAACGCTCGGTTTCTGAAACACTGATCATCGTAGAAGTCTTACACATTATAAATGAAACGAATTTTTACGGATTTATCGCGTTTATTTTTAATTTTAACCCCAGACGTTTCGAACCCTTTACAGCGTTCATGGTCTGTCCCGTGTTAGTTTCATTTAGAAGTATAACTTTCTCACTCACCAGACGAAACGCAGTACACTTCTGCGTTTTGTCTGATGAGTGAGGTAGCCAGGGCCCTCTTAATTTAAAGGTGGCAACGCATTTGCAACCCTGAGGGTGTTGCTAATGTCCATGGGCGGCGGCTATCACTTAATATCAGGTGAACCGCCAGCACGTTTGCCACATTTTGACATTAAAAAAAATAGTAAGAAATACAAGAAATTATCATGCAATACTTCTACTTTACGCCGGTCTTCTGTGAGGTTGTGATACTAACCCGAACGGACCTGCCCATTCGTGCAACAGCCGAAACTGTTGCGTGACCCTACCACAGTTATAAATGTAAATGTTTAAAAATGATTGCTTGATTTCAGGCCCCGCAGCCAATGGGTCCGTCGAACACTGTAACGCATTGCCCTCATTGTCAAGCCACCGTAAAAACGTCTATCAAACGTACTGCCACTACACGCACTCATTTGACAGCGCTGCTGTGTTGTGTTTTATGGTTATTATATATTATTAACAATATATCTATTATATATCTCTTTATATTAACTAAATTAACAAGTAAAAAGTAAAGTAACAGCCTATGCATGTTCCACTGCTGGGCAAAGGCCTCCCTCTATACAGAGGGTATCAGGACAAGGCGGACTTCAGATATGTTCGAAATGTTTTTTTTTTGTTATTATTTCGAAAATATGCAGGTTTCCTCATGATGTTTTTCTTCACCGCGGAGCACGTGATAAGTCAGCACTTAAAGTTAAAAACTTCATTGGTGCCGGCACCGGGATCGAACTCAGGTTGCCCGAGTATAAACATTGAATGAAAGGCGAGCGCCCGGACACTGAGCTATCACAGCTCAAACTAAATTAACCGAATATTATTTCTCAAGCGTTTTTTTGATAATCCATCTATTGACAAACTGTTTAAATGAAAGATAGCAAATGAATGCTATTCTCAAAGTCAGATACGTTTCAATAAAGACTTATCTTAGCCTTTAAACGAGCAATTCTTGTATATATATACATATATATATATATATATATATATATATATATATATATATATATATATATATATATATATTATAGGAATCTCGGAAACGGCTCCAGCGATTTTCACGAAATTTATCTTAGCCTTTAAACGAGCAATTCTTGTATATATATATATGACGGTAAATTTCGCCGCAAGAGAAAATGTCATAATAATCGGTAATCGGGCGGCCCCAAAACAGACGGCCGTGATTCGTGTCACGATCATTTACACATTTATTTTTTTACTTTTTTTTCGATTCCAGATCATTGCTTTCTTTCTTTTTTATTTTTTGTTGATCCAGATGATTTTGTTATTTTTTTTTTAAAGTTCTTTCTTTTGTGAAAAACATCAGTTCATATTCTCTTATTATTACGTCGGTAAGATCGAAAAATATTATGCATATTTCATTACTCAGTAATTTGTATCTAAATGTAATTTCCAAAATACACGATTTACCAAAAAAAAAAAAACAAACCGAGCAAAGCTCGGTCCTCCGGGTACTTTACTTATTATTATAATAACATTCTGTGACTGTTCACAGCACTGTGCGACAATTTCGCACTTATATTTCTTTTTACTTATTCCTATTTCTTTTTTTACCTGCAATTTTGATAAATTGTTCCGCTTTACATTATCTATTTATTATATAAGAGATTTCCACCGATAATTGACTCATAACGATATCTCTGGAACCATAAGGCGTAGAGACTTGAAATTTGGTAGGAATATTCCTTTCGCCGAGTAGAGCCGAGGTGAGCTAAGAACGGATTTTACGAAATGTAACCTGTTCGTCCGCTAGTTCTTCTAATTTTTTAATTCTTGTATATATATATCCGGAACCTCAGAAACGGCTCCAGTTTTCATGAAATTTAGTATGTGCGTAGATTCGGCGGCGAAAAATCTATCTAGCAAGGTTTCATTTTTAGAAAATGTCCTTTTATCCCTGTTTTCAGGGAATGAAAAATATCAATCGAATATGACAGTAAATTTCGCTGAAAAAAATGTTATAATAGCTCGGATGGTAATCGGGCTGCCCCAAAACAGACAGCCGCGTTTCGTATCACGATCATTTACACACTTATTTTTTTTCTATACCAGATCATTTTCTTTATTTTTTTATTTCCAAAATACATGATTTACCAAAAAAAAACGAGCAAAGCTCGGTCCTCCAGCTACTATAAATTAATGTAACAGGAGATACCTATAGAACGTACGACGAAGAAAGAGATAGCAGTCTATATAGTTGCAATTTAATCTTATCCTTTAAACGAGCAATTCTTGTATATACAGCGTGTCGTTACCATCGCGACAATAAATGAACACACATATAGGGGATAACTTTTTAAAGTTGTATTAAATATTAAAATTCTTTAAACATCAATATTTACAAAATTATTAAATTTTCCAAAACAAATAATTTTAGAACACCCTTACCTATAAAAGCGTAACGTAAAGTTCATTTGTAAAGGTCACAAAACATAGGAATGGGTTGAATGAATTTAAAAGAGACAAAACGTACTGTTAGAAGGAGAGGCTTGTAATGCGACGCTGTGGCGCGAGTTGTATAGGATGTTACAAATTTTGTTTCTTTTTTACTTAATTAGTTTGTTTGAAAAATATTTTTTTTTAATTATGGATTTTGTTTAACGGTAATATTTTTTAATAATTATTGGCAAGTAGCGTTAGACGTGTGTTCATTTAATGTCGCGATGGTAACGATACGCTGTATATAATCGGAATCTCGGAAATGGCTCCAGCGATTTTTATGAAATTTAGTATGTGCGTAGATTCGGGGGCGAAAAATCAATCTAGCAAGGTTTCATTTTTAGAAAATGTCCTTTTATCCCTGTTTTCAGGGAATGAAAAATATCAATCGAATATGACAGTAAATTTCGCTGAAAAAAATGTTATAATAGCTCGGTCGGTAATCGGGCGGCCCCAAAACAGACGGCCGCGGTTCGTATCACGATCATTTACACACTTATTTTTTTTACTTTTTTTCGATTCCAGATCATTGCTTTCTTTATTTGTTATTTTTTGTGGATTTGTTGTTTTCTTATTCTTTCCCTTTTTAAAATTCTTTCTTTTGGGTAAAACACCAGTTCATATTTTCTTATTATTACGTCGCTAAGATCGAAAAATATTATGCATATTTCATTACTCAGTAATTTGTATCTAAATGTAATTTCCAAAATACACAATTTACCAAACAAAAGCAAACCGATGTGCGTCATTTTGAGTGCTTCAGTTTCGGTGCGCTAGTGTCACATCTACCTCGTGTTTGTATATCATTGGTCATCTATTCAGGTTTGTATATCATATCCCCTTGTAAGGATAACGCTGTACATGGCTACTTCTTTCCACTATCTAAAAAGGCGGCGGATTCATGACGACGATGCCATGTCATTTGGCCGTAGGTACGTCAACGTCAATAAGTGTTAGATCATTATGTTAATTGGAGGAAGAAACTTTTAAAGTGATACAATGGCCTGATTTAATTTTAGTTAATTGCAAATTCCAATCTATGAATGCGGGCAAACAGGTAATTGATAATGTTTAGTTTAGAGGCCATACCCACGTGCCGTTAGGGCTCCTAAGGTTTAAACTTCTTTGTCTTTTGAAACGTTTGAGGTATCAGTTGTGCTTGAAACATTATCCAGTTTTCAGTGCAAATTTGCAGAACCCACAAACGGCTGTGTTTATGTAAAAAGCTTGCAAGCGAGCAGATGGTTCATTGATATTGAGTGATTACCGCCACCCATGAACATCTACAAAACCTGACAGGTTGCGCATAATCTGCTAATCTTTTGAACTGGGCTCCAATTGCCACGAGACGAAGCGCCCAAGTACCTATAATACTTTCACAATGAAGGAATAATGCGTGTCGTGACAGTATCTACTAGCAAATAAAACAAACACGCCCCGACTTCCCTACCGCATGCTCTAAGATCGTTATACGTGGCATCCTTAGTCTAAATATATTGTTTCATCCAGTGGTGAATTATCGCATGCTCAGCCGTGGAAAACATCGTAAGGAAATCTGAATATTTTCAATTTTTTTTTATTTGTATGTAAAGTTGCCAAACGAGCAGGCGGTTCACCTGATTTTAAGTGAATACCGCCGCCCATGGATATCTGCCACACCCGAGGGTTTGCAGATGCGTTGACAACCTTTTTGGAAATTGGGCACCGACTACCTCACTCTCCAAACGAAACGCGAAAGACTACTAGATTTCCACTTTACGCCGGTCTTCTGTGAGGTCGTGGTACTTACCCGGACGAGCCTGCCCATTCGTGCAACAGGACAAATTCCGAGGCTGCTGCGTGGCCCTAACACCGTGGAAAATTTTCAAAATCAATAATAAAAAAAATGTCCGCAAACACGCGGTGGGTTCGCGCTAATACGCAATATACCTCAATACTTTCTGCACACAGGTGGACTATACGCAGCAGTGGGACATATATATGTTGCAACTTTACTTTTTAACATCGATTGCAATGAGTCGAATTAAATTTATATCATCGTTAATTGCAATGTTTATTATTACAGTTGTTGCTGTTGTATTCCATACTGCATGGACTCCACGAGGAACACCGACCATTATTGTCCCAATTGTGACAGATTTTTGGGCACTTATCAAAAGTGAATTATAAATAAGTTTACCTGTCAAAAGACAGTAACCATTTTACTTTTTCTCATTTTTTTTAAAATCTTTAATACCTATTATAATAAGTTAAAGAGTAAGAATACTTATCAGTTTAGGGATTAATAATGATTGTGGAGTATTTTAATTTTCGTGATTTACGTGTTCCTACATGTTAAAGTGCCATTATTTTGTCTAACTGATGATTAATATGTAACTTTAAGATATTTTTAGTGAATACATTAGATTAATGTTCTCTTTTATATTAAAAAGTTTCTACTGATTATTATAGTCCATTTATTAAAAAAAAGTACCACAGTACCTTTGACAATCGGATTCTCTTCTAGTTTCACCGTCTTCAACACCGTTGCTCAACTGACATGTGAAAATATTACGTATGTATACATATAATCTTAATTCGGATGACTCCGTGGTGCAGCAGCCAAGGAATTGGCTTCGATGTCGGGGGTAGTGTGTTCAATTCTCACACAGGACAACTATTTGTGAGACCCACAGATAGTTGTTTCGCATCTGGGTGTTTGTCCGCGTGGAATTTATGTTTGTAAAACGTCCTTCCAACACAAGAAAATATTATCCTAAAGTAAGGGCAATGTTTTTTGTTTAAATAAAAAAAAAACAACTGAAATTGAAACAAGAAAACATCAAAGAACATATAAAATATTGTTACGTGTTAATGTAACTTCATTAGATTCCTGCTTAACACAATGTTTGCAGTCTTCCGAACACGGCCTTCGTGAGAGTGCGTCGGCATTTCTATGCGTCTATCCGCTGCGTGTTCCGTCTTGAAGTCATACTCCTGGAGCTGCTCAATCCATCGAGCTACTTGACCTTCCGGGTTCTTGAATTGCAGTAGCCACTTCAAGGCTGCGTGATCAATTCGCAGTAAAAACTATCTGCCGATGAGATATTTGTTGAAATGTTGTAGCGTCTTTACAACAGCCAAGAGTTCTCTTCTTGTTACACAGTAGTTTCTCTCTGGCTTGGATAACGATTTGCTGAAATATGCAATAACAACTTCTCTTTCACCCTGTTTTTGAGATAACACCCCCTCCAATGGCCGTGTTGCTTGCATCTGTGTCGACTATAAACTGACCTTCAGATTGTGGATACCCCAGGATTGGTGTTTCACACAGATGTTTCTTCAGTTTCTGAAAAGAATCTTCACAAGTCCCATCCCAAATGAATGGTCGTTTATCTTCTGTCAGCCGATGTAATGGCTTGGCTATCTCTGAGAATTCCTTAACAAAACGCCTGTAGTATGAGCATAGGCCGAGGAATGCCCGCACTTCGGTTTTGTCCTTAGGGGTAGGCCATTTTTGAACTGCTTCCAGTTTCTCCGGGTCTGTCTGAATTCCATCACTGGAGATAACATGGCCGAGATAGTTGACCTTGCTCCTGAATAAACGACACTTTTTCGGATTCAACTTTAATTTGGCTCCCTCTATTTTGGCGAAAACTCGCTCCAAGTTTCGCAAATGGTCCTCGAAGTCACGGCCGACAGTGATGATGTCATCTAGGTAGACTAAGCAAGCCTCTCCAACTAAGCCTGCAAGTACACACTCCATGAGTCGCTCAAATGTGGCAGGCGCGTTGCACAATCCGAAGGGCATGAATATTGCCATAAAAAACCTTTTCTTACCGGTCAGAGTGAAAAGCTGTCTTCCCCTTGTTAAATTGCGATAAACCTTTACCGGTCGAGAAAGCTGTCTTCTCCTTGTCTTTTGGATGAATTTCCACCTGCCAGTATCCAGATTTCAGGTCTAGGGTCGAGAACCATTTCATGCCACTTAAGGTATCCAAAGTGTCGTCGATTCGAGGTAACGGGTAACTGTCCTTCTTAGTAACATCATTGAACCGCCTATAGTCCACACAAAATCTCGTGCTACCATCTTTCTTCTTCACTAACACAACAGGTGAGCACCACGGACTTGTAGACGGTTCAATAATCTTATTCCTTCTCATGTCCTCCAAAAGGCCTTCAACTTCTTTTTCCTTTGCAATTGGTATCCGTCTTGCTCGTTGACGAATTGGTCTTTCGCTTCCGGTATCTTTCCTGTGCTGAACCATCGAAGTTCTTCCAAGGTAGGGGACCTTGACTGGAGAAGATATTCGCGTAGCGCTGTAAAAACTTCCTAGCTTTAATACCCTGCGAATAAGTCAGATTACTCTTGCAGTCATCGAGTAGCTCAGTCACTAATCCGTAGTTATTGCTGTTTGCCGAGTCTGCGCCTGTAACCGAACTACACTTTTTCATCCAGACAACTTCCTCGCACTTTCCAATGACGTCACCTTTGTTCAAGCAGACCTCGCGATCACCAATATTCAAAACCTTGACCACAGCGTTACTGCTTCCACTAACAAGGGTTCTCGCCGTCATCAGTTTTTGCGCTGATGTCTTGGTAGGAGTGCCTTCGATCAACACGCATCTGTTTGACACCTTATTTCCAGCTGGCGGAAGTTTCACCAGCACCTGGGCTTCCGCTCGTCCAGGTATAATGACTTTCTTTATACATGCGACTTTCCCGCAGGTGCCTCCGAGAATGAAGATTTCTTCTTCACCACACTCGAAAACTCCGTCAGCGACATTAACTCTGCAGTTGTGTTTCTTCATGAAATCCAAACCTGAGGATGCAATCATCCACAATCTCAGCCACAATGACGTTATGAGAGTATGATGACCCCCCTACATACATCGTGACTGACATTTCTCCCAAGACGGGTATTGGCTGACCGGAGGCAGTAAGGAGCCGGCAGTTAATTCTCCTCTTGAGTCCCCTTGAGGCTTTTACCAGTTTTGGGTTCACTATTGTTCTAGAGGCTCCTGTGTCTAGAGTCATTTTGCAATCCGACCCGTTAATAATACCCTGAATCACAAGGCTATTCCCGCTGCATGCCTGGGAGATAACAGTTATCGGGGCTTCCTCCGCGTCAGCCAGTACTCACCCCTTAGTACTGGCTTTTATTAGTTTCCCTGATCCTGGGCAGGGGACGAAGCCTCTCGCTTCTTCAGCTCCGCTATTTGTTCCTCGATCCATTTCATCCTTGCCATCTGGGTCTCCTTCTGCGGGCAGTTGAGCTGAAGATGGCCCCTCTCGCCACACTTGTAGCACATGGCTCCAGGACTTCTCTTCGTAGGAGCCTTAACCTCCTTCACTTCCTCAGAGACCTCGCGGATCCTATGGGTCTGCCGTATGTCGTAGCGAACAGCCTCGACCTCCAAAGCGTGCGCCAATGCCTCATTTAGCGAGGTATGGTGACGAAGCCTCACTGCAGCTCTGACCTCCAGGTCTTTGATTCCGTCCACAAATGCTTGAACAATATTCGTGTCTACCATCTTGGTGTTGGCTCCTGGGTGTGCCTTCCTGACGAGTTTTTCAATTTCCAACGCCCATTGTTGTAGTCCTTCTCCTGAGCGTTGGACTCGGTCACGCAGTTGGGCACGGAACACGTGCTCCAGGTGTCGCTCCCCGTACCTGGATTCAAGTGCCTCCATCAGGTCTTGGAAACCCATTTCCTGTATGTGGCAGTGCTTCCAGGACCGACAAAGCTTGCCCTCTAAGCGCAACAGTGAGAGCGGTCAGGCTTTGCACTTCCGTCCATCCGTTGGCAGTAGCAACAGTCTGGAATTGCCGACGATAAGCGTGCCAAGAAGTAGTGCCGTCGTATGGCGGCACTTTCACTCTTGGTCCTTGCGCCACTCCAGTGGTTCCACTAGACATCGCGACTCTCGTGGTTTCAAGGCGCACTACTTTCTAAGGTGCCGCCGGTGGGCGTGGCAAGGTGGGCATGGCCAGTGGGCGTGGCCCGAGTAGGCGTTTCCCGGTGGGTGGAGTCAGTGGGCGGGGCCTGCCCCGAAGTGGGCGGGGCTTGGGTCTGAGTGGGCGGAGTCTGAGGGGCGTGGTCGGTGGGCATGGCCTGGTCGGTGTGGTCATTGGGCGGGGCTTGACCCATAGTGGGCGGGGCTTGGTCCCCAGTGGGTGTGGTCTCCGCAGCTCGAGCCCTTGTCCTGACACCCTCCTTGAAGTCCTCTCTCGGAGTCAATGGCATCTCCAAATCCCACTTCTGACACCAGTTGTTACGTGTTAGAGGTTCGAAGGATTTGGAGAGAAAGACCTGCTGACTCTTTTGAAGACTTTATTCAATAGCACTAGGTCCGACACAAAGCACTAGGTCCAAACACTAAGCACTAACGGTGTCCTGTTTTGTAGCCAAGTCGTAGGTTTCACTGGTATCGCTCTTGATCACTAGTTTTCGCTCCGAAGTCGCCTCGAAGGTAGCTCAAACTGAACTGTATTCGCTCGCCTCCCCGCGGCTTTTTATATGGGCCGAGACCGGTTCCAGACTAATCCAGAAAGATCCTTCCTGGAACGTACCCGACACGCCCGAACATGTTCGTGATTCCGGAAAGTTCGCGAATGTACCCGGTTTTCGAGACTATAGTTCCACAGCAGTTCCTCTAACGCCATCTAGTATTGAATAGGGGGTTTTATGTCGTCTTTGTTCTTTAGTGATTTTAATAGTTGACGCTAGATGGCGTTAGTTCCTTTGTGTGTTCATAACAATATGTTGTACCGGATTAAGCAAGCGCGGGGCCTCCCGTAGCAAATTCTTTCAAACATCCCTTGATCTGCTATGGTTCTTAAGTATAAATTGATGAAAAAACAATTGAATAATCTTACATGTTTATTAAGTTTCACTCAAAAAACTAAGGCTCAGGCAGAGATGAGTGGATTTAAATATGCGGGGCCCCCTTTGGCGTGGTGCCTGTAGCAACTGCTACTGTTGCTACGTTGTTAATCCGGCTATGTTTGTGTGTGTGTGTGTGTGTGTGTGTGTGTGTGTGTGTGTGTGTGTGTGTGTGTGTGTATGTATGTATGTGTGTGCGTGCGTGCGTGCGTGCGTGCGTGCGTGCGTGTGTGAGGGCTCACCTGACGGTAATTCAATCAAATAATCACCCATGAACACCTGCAACACCGGAG